ATAGATTAGTAATTAAAAACATTATTATATGTAAGTAATAATAAATTAGTTTATTTAAAGCCAATACGACTCTGTCACAGGAAAGAAAAAACCAAAATTATCGTTAATCAGGCCCTGTTCCGTATCCCAAAATGGCCGCTAGTGACATTTTGACGATTAATTCCTTTATTACACGGGCTGTCACTCAAGTTAGCCTGCTGATTGTTTTTGTATATGCTGTGGTTCAAACTATGTCAATATACAGGGTGGACCAAAAGTCTTTTCACTTTTCCAACAATGAGGAAAAAAACTAAAAAAGTGGGAGAAACTTTCAATAACGGCTTCGATTGAAATGTAAACAGACTTATGGTCCATCCTGTATTTAGCCTGTTCGAAGATGAACTATAATTTTCATTCCATAATATTTCAATTTCAGGGAATGAGAATTAAATGTTCTTGGTACATAAAAAAAATACTTTTAAATGGCTCGAAATACCTCGGCTTATCATGAAATACTTCGAATTACCTTGAAATACTTCAAATTACCTCGAAATACTTGGAAGTATTAGGCAATACCACGAAAAACTAGGATAGAGTGGTTGACCCCTCGGGAATTTTTTAGGTTTTTTCGAGCATTAAGTTGAAAGAAAATTTCTAACTTTGCTTCTGGGCTCAAGATACACTTCTAATTTATTTTCCCTTATAAAGAATGCTCTATTTTTTTTTTTAACAATAGATGTATATACCTTAACTGGAGACCCTGAGCTTGAAAGCTATGCGGGTCATTCAGTATCATATTATAACATCATTACAATATACTATATTATTATACATTATACAATATCACACAAGAGAGAATATCCAGTACAAGTAGGTACTGTATCACAAAGTTATTGCATTTATGAATATATTAGTTCTAAATTGCAGATAGAATCTTCCATTTTACAGTCCCAAAGTATCCATTGGAGATCAGCTGCTTCAGCTTACACTTGGAACAAGTTATGTTCAATCTTTTAACAGATTCTGGAATTCGATTGTAGTACCTTAGTCCTTTTGATAAGATGCTACGTTGGCCAGTTGTAGTAGTGTTCACACTCCGTGTACAATGTTCTCCATTTTACTTCTGTTACCTTCACATTCAATATACTGTAGTCTATCTGATAGATAGTCCCTAAACCACAGTAGTGCTGAACTTCCAATATCAGTTTTTTCAAACACCTCCAAGAGAATTTTGTGATTTACTGTGTCAAAAGCTTTTCTCAAGTCCAGCGAGACAAGTACACACTTATATCTCTTATTAACCTTTTCATAAATATTTGCAATTAGGTCTGTAGTTGCTGAGGACTTATTGCTGTGTTTTCTGAATCCATATAGACCCGCATATCAAAAATTAATCGTATAATTACACAGGTCTCCAATACTTTTAGACTTTTATGAATCCTGTAAGCTTAAAATCGCTACGGTGACTGGAAATATTTTGGGAATTTTTCAGTTTTCTTTAAGAATCAAGTTGAAAGAGAATTCCTAACTTTGCTTCTGGGCTCAAGATCCACTTTTAATTTATTTTTCCATACAAAAGAGGATCTATTTTATAAATCTTCTACTGTCACTTGCGATTTTTTTGAACAGAAAATCTTTATTTGTAGAGATCTTGGAACTCCATCAACCTCTATGAATATCCTTGGATCTACTGGGCTATCCTGGAATCTCTAGGCCTTGGATCTTTATAAAGATCATTTGGATTTCCATGGATCTACTCCTTAATAAAATCATAGAATAAAATAATCTTCTTTTAAAATCCTAATTTGAGTTTGCCTTTTCCTTACTCTTCTTCTGAATTTCAATTTTCCTTTACTTTTGTTTCTTCTTTATTCCTTTTATAGTTTATTTTTTCTTTCCCACTATTGTTTCTCCCTATAGTAAACCAGCCAAAACTAAAAATTAGTTTTATTGAAAATGTAAAGATATCTATACAAAAAGCACTTTAAAAACCACTAAATTAACAGACAGAAAACCCAAAAACAAAGTAACAAAACTAAAAACAAACCCATATTCTATAGGTATTATTTATATTAATCAAATCAAGAACTAACGTGTGTGCCAACAATATTGTTTCCTGAAAAAGGAAACAATTTGTTTGTTTTTTTCGCGTGAAAAGTTCCTAAAAAACCGCCACCACGTCGTGCATAGAGGACTGCGCCATGGGGTGCACAGTTTCGGCTGAAGAAAGGGCCGCCATCGCCAGGACCAAACAAATCGACCAAACCCTCAAAGAAGAAAGTCAACGGTCCAAAAGGGATGTTAAACTTTTACTTTTGGGTATGTAAACCTTTCACTATAAGAAAAAGGGAATGATGATAGAAGTTTTTGTCCACTTGTGTATAAATTTATATTTCTTTTACATTATTAAAATCAATTATTATTGATTTTATGCAAAATGATGTTTGAAGCTTATAAAATTTAAGCCAATTATTGTAAGTCCTTAATTGTATTAGTTTTTCTTGTGGTCAGACTCAAAAGACGTCACATATCCAATATCCATTTAAAAAAAAAAAACTAGTTTTATCTCGTAAAGTCGTTTTAAATGATGTCAACAGTCAGGGTCGGATGCGCATCAGCCAAAACCAGACACAAGAACGAAATTACAATTCAAAGAAAATGGGCATCATTTCCATTTAAATTATTCGTCCCTATTCTTCCATTACTCCATCATAAGCAATTTCGCGCATCCTTGAACAAAGCCTTGAAAAATTCAAGGACACAATTTATTTTTAATAAAGAATTTGAGGATTAAAACTTCAAAGATTCATATGTATGTGAGGGCTGAATAAAACTCAAATCATTAAGAAATACCCAACTTGCATCATCAAAAAACATCCTCACTTGCAATAAATCCTCTATACTTAAGTATACGAACAATGACAAGGTTGGGACTTACCAGTTATAATTTTCTTTTACTTGTTCTTGTAAAAAGCTTTTCAGTGTTATTTCTAAACTATTTACAAATTTCCAATTAGAATGAAATCCTTATCAAACTATACTAAAATTGATGACGTAAAACAGTACTAAACACAAATATACATTGAAACATGTGTTTGTATATTTAAAACCTTAGAACCGCTTAAAATAATATTATTTTTACATTCTTGTATATGAAATGTTCAAAGTAAGATAATGTGGCTATTTTCCATCAATGCATTGTATTACTTTTATGTGTCTATGTAGAGGAAATTGTTTGTAGTTTGATGACAAATTTGATTTGAGTAGTTGTAATTATAAAAATCTTCAACTCTGTCTGCTTAAAAATATATGTACTAAGGAAAACAAATCACTTAAGTGAAAGCTGAAAATTCATGAGGTTTCTGAATCCTCGCTCTCTTGATTTTCCTAAAGTAAAAAGGAAAAAGCTGTAAAAATGAGAAATAAAAACTTTTTTGCTCACATAAATTGCAAAAGAATTGTCTTATTATGACTTTGGAAATGATATTTTTGTTTGCCTTACTTTAAAAGTAATCTAATAAAGACAAATGGAATGGAAATACAATGTTAGTTTGGGTTAAGGATCAATAAATACAATATTAATGAAATCTTTGGAATTTGGAATACAGGTCCTAAGACAGTCAATTTATAAACCAATCCAAATTTTCAAAAGAATGAATTTGAAGCAAAAGATATCTTAATGAATCAGAGGCTTTCAAAAGTGATTAAATTCAAGTTTTAAAGTCTGTTGCCTTCTTTTTTTCTTACATTTTGATGGTATTCAATGACCTCAAAACTCTTGACTTACACTACTAAAAATAAATTACAAATCCTAAGTGTAGGTAGAAGCTAAATTGATTGAAGTTTTTAATTGTACAGGTCAAGTGGCTTCAATTAGGTTCATTCAGAGAAGAGGTGTAAGAGTTAAGATCTATTGAACTAATTGCACTAATTAAGATTTATATTTGATAATCTGAAATTGCAAAACATAAATTTTCAAGAGATATGTAGTAAATATCCAATACATATAATATAAGCTTTTTTCATATTCTGACCCAATAATATTTCTTGTTGAATAAAATATAGAGCAGAAATAAGAGGATACCTAAATTGGACGATACTATTTTTCTCAAAGGCAAAGGGAATTCGTATCCCAATAAGAATCTTCAAGGTTGAATCTTCAAAAGATAAAAATTTGATTACGCCCTCATCATAATAATTAAATTCGATTATAGTTTGGTTTACAAGTATCAACAAGTGTGTCACTATAAATATAACCATCCCACATGAGAGGCAAAAAGCCAAATTGCTATAGTTTAAGTGTCCGTTTCCGGAAACATTTAAAGTGTTTCAAGTGGCGTTTTTAAACGATCCGCCAGCGTAGAAACAATTACACAAATCGAATGGCATTCCGCAGCAGTAAAAATTGTCCATAAAAAAGTGTTTAATATACCTACTTACTAATTGTGTACATTAACATTTAAACTGTTGCTAAAATTAGGACAATTATTATGTTTTGATACACAGTGTATATAGAATTTGAATGGACATATATATTCATTCATTATTTCAAACCGCATGCACTCAAAATAAAACCGAATCTCTCCGGAGATTAAACTAAATTATAAACAAAGCCTTATTCTGTGTACCGAATTGGATTTGGGTGTTATTTCCCGTGCAGTGAAGCTATGTTTGTACTTTTAATAACAATAGTTTATTCATTTTAAAGTTTATATTGTTTTGTTTGGACACAGCAACAATATGCTTATTATTCATATCAAAGAGAAGTTTTCAGTTTTCCCTCGAGACATTATTTGCCTTGAATTTCTCAGATGTCTGGACAATGAAAAGACTTATAATTTACAACCCCTATAAAGCAATTATACTATTGATTATGAAACATTAAAAGTTACATTGTACTTTAATTATATTTAATGGGGGATAATTTCAAGACTTTAAAGTTGCTCAAGCTGTTTTTCATTTATCTACTCAATTATTGAGTTTCCAATTTAGTTATTAACAATTTTTTCTTTTAATTGCAGGCGCTGGCGAATCAGGAAAAAGTACCATAGTAAAACAAATGAAGTAAGTAATATTTTTATCTATGTGTTGATTGATATTTTGTAAAATCAAATTTCTAATAATTTCTAAACAAGTGTCTAGAGTATTTTTAGTAGAATCATCAATATTTCCATATTTATTTATTTTATCCCAGCCAGTATTTACTCTATAACCCAACGCACTGCTGGTTCACCACTAAAAATATCTCTATATCTGCCAATATTGAGCATTGATTTTCTGGTTTGTATACTTTGTGAAGGCGTTGGCAATCTTTTATAAACATAGATTATCGAATAAATATTTCATTGAGAATTATTATTCTTGGTGTATGGGAAGTTAAATATAGGTACTTTAGAAGCTAAAAATGCCTATATAAATTATGATACAAAATTTATAATAATAATATTTTACTATTATTATTATTATTATTATTATTGTTAATAGCAGTAGGCAGTTTAAAGAAAAACCGATGAGACTGCCGTATTTGTTTAGACAGCTATCGCATTCTTCGTTTTGATTGTATGGTCTATAGACAGTAGTGCACAAAGGAGGTTGTGGCCCAACTTGTCATTTCCTGCTCGAGGCGATTCTTAAACTGATTTTTGGAGGTAGAGTTTATGGTGTCAGCGCTCAGGCGGCTCCAATTGTAAACAACACTATTGTTAAGGAAATTCCTCCTCAGGAGCTTATTGCATCTTTCTTTAGAAAACTTTTGATCATGTCCTCTCAGATTTATTTTGTAACTTAGGTGGAAGATGTGTCTCAGGTTATAGGCATAGTGACCGTTGAGTATTTTATGTGTTTCAATGAGATCACCTCTGATTCTCCTGTCTCTTAAAGTTGTGAGGTTCAATCTCAGGAGCTGTTCCTCATAGGACAGATTTTTAAGTTCCTGCGGTAATCTGGTTATTCTTCTTTGAACTCTCTCTATCTGTTCTATGTCTTTAATGTAGTATGGATTCCAGATCGTTTGGGCATATTCAAGTTTTGGTCTTATATGCACGAACAGTGCAACATCTATTGGTGAAATTGAGAACAACCCCTAGCTCCCCCACCATTGAATTCTGGGATAAATCGCACAGCTTTTGCAAGCATTCCATCGAGGTCTGCGGCTGACGTCATCACTATAACAGGCATTTGATGGAGAGGCAGTTAGGGAAGTATGACACAATTGACACATCAGATAACTCAGCTAATCAGATTATGCTTGATTAAGCCTAGTACCTACTCATAACTGCGAAATTCGCATTTTTTTGACATTACTTTGACAAATTGACGTTTTATGCGTGAATCAAACGTCAAATTGTCGAAGCAATGTCAAAAAAGTGCGAATTTCGCAGTTATGAGTACTTGGCTTTATCCTCGCGAAAAGTTGCCTAATAAATGCGTTTTTGGAAGATATTTTTAAATAAAATCGCACTGTCATAACCTCAAAACCACACCAAACGCTTTTGTTGCATACTACTGCCATAGCAGCCATGTTGGCTTTTTGTGCTCTGAAGCGATTTCATGCCCTTATTCGTTTTATCTAAAAAAATCCGCAAAAAATCCTCTGAATTACAGAATCCGAAAAAAATCCGAGCGTTCAAAAAAAATCCGCAAATCGGATTAAAATCCGCCGATTGGCAACACTGGTTTTCTATGAGTTGTTTGAATGCGGGTGACTCGGGTGAGTGGTGATCAATAATGACAAACATTATCCTAAACTAAGTAGGGTTTGTACTCCGGTGCACTTATGAAATGGTATATGCTTGACCTCAACAAATTAGCTTAAAGCTGCCACCACTCGTATTCAATAGTTTTTAGTATCCCTATGAACATACTAAAAGTCTCCGTCGCTGTGATTAGTGGAACATCCCCAAATCCAGTCCGCCATCTTGATTTTTCGTCCTTTTATTAAATTTTTACTAATATCTCGAACACTGTAAGGTTTATCAAAAATTTGCAAGAGACAAAAAAATTTCTAAATATGTTTTTTTCTGTAAGAGCGATGAAATATAATAACATTCACACTCTGCAGACCTCCAAATATTGAAAATATTACACTTCCCTATGCGATTTCGGCTATTTTTCCTAATATTTTATATACATATACAGCTCATCTGACAGATATGGACACGAAATGCAAGCCGTTGTCTAGTGTTTCAATAGACGTAGTTTTTGTAATAAATGGAGGATACATACTTCATAAAGTCACCTATGCAGAGATTTTTGAGCATGAAAAGCTCATTCAATTCCATTATGGTTCAAATTGTACAGTGATTTTTGATAGGTATGATGGTTTACCTATTACTTAATCTCTGGAACGAATGCGGAGAACTAATAAATTATCTTGTGCTGATATTGTGATATCTGACTTAGTATAACACCAACAATAATTTTTTTAAAATTCAACTGTTAATAGAAAGCCTTTTGTCATCTAACATAAGTGTAAAACAAGCAGAAGCAGATGTAGATGTTTTAATTGTCCAAACGGCTTTGAATTTGAGGGAAAAAGAGACTTCTCACTTCTGTGTCAGTTGTTGGCCAAGACACGGACTTCATGGTATTACTGCTCCATTTTGTTAAAGATAACAACGTTTTTATGTTAGGGCCCGGAAATCAGAGTCAAGCAATCAAAATTACTGAAATTTTACTTTTACAAGAAGCTTTTTAGGACCAGTAGTAAGTGAAATTTCATTTATCCATGCAATTAGGCACTAGCTGACGTCACACACATAACCTCACTTCCGTTGGGGGGACAAACAAAGCGTTTGAAAGGTCTATTTAACACAGGCGCTAGCTTGTCACCAATGACATAACGTGACTTTCGATAGGGGGACAAACATGTCATTGAGGTTATGTGTGTGACGTCAGCCTATTAAAGTTCAAGAAGGCAATAAAACTATTCACTCATTAATTTCTGTTTTCCAGAATGTATAAAGGCAGATGAGGAAGAAATTAACATTGGCGAAGAATTTCTTTTACTTGTATATGGCAAAACTGAAATATCTAAGACGCTTAATGACTTTACCGATATCTTCGGTTTATAACCCAAAAAGGGCAGGAGACGATTGCGCGCGGAATGCAAATTAGGTGCATACCTGGCAATACCTAATTATCCCGGCAGGGGGTTGCCAATATTGGTTTTTAATTTGCTTCCAAATATGAATTCCGAAAGTTATTGTGAGGATTTTCAATTACATATTAAATGATTATTGTAAATCTATAGATTTCAATTTATATCCCAAACATATATATAAAAATATGTGATTTTGAAAGAACCATCCATCTCAATAATAAGACTGTTTGGCAAAATACTGAGATTATCGGATGTAGATTTCATTAAACACAGTCGTGGTTTAGAAAAACACAAAGCCTAGGGCTAGTTAGTGAATATCGTAATTTAGACTCATAGGCAAATAGTTACTCTGGACTGCTGGACATTTGGTTTATTTTTTTTGGACCCTGCCGGAGTTGGCAATGCGTTTGCTGAAGAAGCTCTACGAATTCAAAAAAAGCGTATCCTTTAGGTTTGTGAAAAAAAAAAAAATCTTTCCTCTTCATACAATGTGTTTTCCTTCAACTTTCTATAGTTCCCGTAGAATGGAGTAGGCGCGCAATCGTCTCATGTTGTAGAAGGGTTTCGGCGCGCTATCGGCGCTTGGTACTAGTGGTACCTGAAAAATTTTCTGACCGCGGCCCGCAATCGTCCATTGCCCGAACTTTCAACTCTTCCACCTACCTCAGATGCAGCCAAATATCACACAAGAGTCTGAGGAACAGACAGGCGGAGCTCCGTAATTCGTAATAAGTGCTAGTCTTTGTATGTTGGTATTTTTAACGAAACAGAGTAAATCAAAACTGACCCAAACTAACCCGTCCTCTCAATATTCATTAAAAGAACAACCCAAAACTGACCCAAACTAACCCGTCCTCTCAATATTCATTAAAAGAACAACCCTAAAGAAAAAAAAAGCCTGAAAAAAAAGTGCATTGCCTTCAACGAGAATCAAACCCGGGACCATTTTACACAGGATCGGTGCAACATTTTGATGAATTTAGCCACACGCGGAATATCGTTCGGCATCCTCCGGAACTCCGTCTGTCTGCTCCCCAGACTCTTTAAAATATCACTGCTCAAGAGTGTATTACCAATTACAACAATGGTTAGGAAATAATCTTAATCCTCTAGAATTTGGTTAAAAATGCAAGGTCGCGGGCTAGTTTTCGAAGAGTTACATCCTGGAAATAAGAACTTTTCCTAGGTACCTATCGAACATTTCAGGTAATCTGAAAATTTTGAAGGAACCAGGAACGTGTCGAGATATTGAAGCAAACTAGGAAAAAGTGCGGAAAATCAAGATTGTGGACCAGATTTGGGGATGTTCCACCAATCACAGCAATGGGGACTTTTAGTATGCTCATAGGGAACCTAAAAGCTATCGAATAATGGTGGTGGCAGCTTTAAGCTAATTTGTTTACCCCTGACCCCTAATTGCTCTGGACTATTGACTTGGACCTAGGTACGAAAGTGAAAAATAGGGCCTTGTGGAAAATCAAGACACCCCAGTTCCTAGTCGTATAATACTTACCCACCTGCACTTGGAAGTCTTTGGTATAGTTTTTCCAAAGTTAATTGGAACAAGGTGAACATAAATTATAACTGGTGGCTGACTAGTGGCAGTGCATTTCTTATGGAAATTTTCAGTGACTAATCTACCAATTGGTACCTTGTTCCAATTGAGTTTGGAAATACTATATCAAAAAAGTTGGTAATATTGTTAGCGTTAGCGGGAGTATTCATCTAGTTCTCTTAAACGGTTAATAATTATTCTTGCAAAATTAGGTGAATTGGGAACAAAAATAAACATTTTGAAAAAAAAAAGCAGAAGTATTTAGGAAATTTAAAAAATTATGCGATCTTATGATGGATGTGTACAGAGTTAAAACATTATGCGTAAGCCTACACATTGACTGTGCACTAAACTTTCTATTTATGCTAAGAAGAGATCGGGGTTTATTTTCATTTTTCAGGAGTTTTTTAAAGTTCAGCCTATTTCTTTATTCTAATAATTCTGTCATTCAAGATTCAAGTAAAACTTTTTACGAATTTCTGAAAATAAAACTACTTACTTCTAAGTAGTTTTATTTTGAGAAATTCGCGAAAAGTTTTACTTGAATCTTGAATGACAGAATTATAGGCGGCCTGCGGCCGCCCCTAGATTTGGCCGCCCGCGTGCGGGGCACGCGCTGCACACCTGCTAGGATCGGCCCTGAGGCATCCCCCATGTGTCCAAACTTTAATGTTGTTAAGGTCCATTTGTAATTCAACCTGATGTAGCAGCGGATTTGTGTATAGGTTTCCATCATCGGCATTATTGTCGCATTATTCGTGTGAAGCCCTTGATAGATATCACTTATGTAAGTTATAAACAGCAGCGGGACAAGGACTGACCCCTGAGGAACACCGCTGTATATTTTGTGCTCCTTTGAAAGTGAGGAATCCGCACGTACTTGGAAGGTACGTACAGTGAGAAAGCCTTCTAACAACCTCAGAAGTTTACCTCTAACTCCAAAATGTTCCAATTTATAAAGCAAAAATTCTGTTGGCACCTTGTCGAATGCTTTTTCAAAATCAAGGTAAATGACATCAATTGGTTCATGGTTGTTATCAGCCAGGGTCCACTCATTTAGTCTGGTTTGTTAATATTGATTTTCCTGGGAGAAAGCCATGTTGTTCAGCAGATTAAACATTTTCAAGTAGGGAATCAGTGAGTTCTTTGGCTACTATTTTTTCTATGCATTTACATAGTGCACTTGTTAGACTGATTGGTCTATAATTTTCTGCATGCTGTTTGTTTCCTTTCTTGTATATTGGTGTTACCACAGCCCTCTTCCAGGCTAAAGGGAAATCTCCTGTGCTCATTATGGTGTTAAGCAAGTGAGACAAAGGCTCTTTCAGCACCTGTACACAGTTCTTGAGAAAAACTGGTGTGATCTCATCACAGGCCCTGGACTAGAGTTTGGTTTTAGCGATGTGATTGCGGTTTCTACTTTTTCTGCTGTGAATATGATGTTGGTAATTTCAGTCCTGGAGTGCGTTTCCAAGGGAAGTGTGGGTTTATTTGTGTTCTGATCCAGTAATGTGTATACGCTTTCAAATTGCTCTGCAAAGTATTCTGCAATTTCTTGGTTTGTCTCAAATGGTTGTTGGGTTGCCCTATAAACTATGTTAAAGTTTTTATGCTTGGAGTTATGTATGCATAGAATTGTTTGTCGTTTGTCAGTAGATTATATTCATAAGTTTTTCTTGCCCTCATCATGCACGCTTTAGTTTTGTTGTTGATACCTCTGATTTATCTTCAGTTTTGGATATTTTATATTTATGCCACAGATTTCTTTTTAGGTGGATCTCTTTGAATACTTCTTTAGTCAGCCACGGTTTTTGCTTGTTAACTTTTTGAGGTCTTATTGGTATGTTTATGTTGATTGATCTGTTTATTGCTTCGTAGAAGGTGTCAATATTTGTTTGATTTGCTAACTTATGTAGGTAACTCTTGCTGGAGTGAGTTGTTGACAGCATCATAGTCAGCTTTCCAGAACTGTCTCTTGTAAACCTTGTGAGTTGGCTGAGTTATAACTTGAAATTGCGCTGTGGCTGTAAATACTACATGGTCACTTTTTCCCAGCGGTGCATGTTGGTGAATATCGAAAATCAGTTTCTTCTCATTAGTTATAAGTAAGTCTAGAAGTGATTGCTAGGCATTTCTAATTCTTGTTGGGAATTTAACATGTTGGTGTCCTCTGTGGTTTTTGTAACTCTCCAGGAAGTCATAACTGCACTGTTTGTGTGGATGAATTACTAGTTTGTCCCAGGTGATTTCAGGGTAATTGAAGTCTCCCATGATAAAGACAGGCTCTTTTAATGTCATAGCACTTTCAATAGCTCGTCCTAAGTTAAGCTCTACAGTTGTTTTTTGCTTTTGTCTATTTACACAAGCCACTAGGAACCTAAAATTGCTGATTTTAACTTCAAGCCATAACGATTCAACTGAACCTGCTGTTTCGAATCGCCGACTTATGTCTGCATGTACATTCTGGCCACCTATGTCACGTTTGATAAGTACACAAACACCGCCTCCGTCGGTTCCTAGATCTTTACGGAACAAGTAGTAATCTGGTATACCTATAAAGCTATCTGGTATTTGATCGGTTAGCCATGTTTCTGTAATCAATATTACATGGGTATTGGTGTTTTGGATGCTAGCTTTTCAGATCACTGAGTATGGACTTTAAGTATGTTTTTTGGGGGGTGTTTGGTCTGCTTTGAAATAGATATTTTCTTCATTAAGTTTTGCCTTATTTCTTAAAATTTGATTAGAGATTTGTAGAATATAATTGGTTTTAATTTGGGACTAATTATGTTAAGATCGGATTGAGTTGTAAGGCAAAATGTGTCTCAATGTCATTTAGGAAAAAATCAAATTTCCATTGAAGAACGTTTTATTTTTTTCTGAGTAAAAAGTTGGAAAGATTCAATTGAAATTTCGCAATCGGATAGAAAAAGGATTGAAATTTAAGGAACAAAATTTCAAATTCATTTTGCTCAATCATCTTAATAAAAATCAATGTCAAAAGATATTGAAGCCTCGCATGCAGCTGTGTAACTATTAAAGCTGATTGAGATTTTAATAATTAGAGATTTGTAGATAATTTATTTGCTACAAGCCTAGTTACATTGAAATCGGATTGAAATTAATAAAGTGACGTGAAAAAAATCAAACTTATTTCGTAAATCTTTTAAAATTATGTTATCGAACTCTATATTTAACCCAAAAGGAATTTAAACTTAAGAAAATCTGGATGTACCTTTTGAAAAAGGCACAATTGGCAAATGAATCCTAAAATTAAGTAATTGAATTATTGTAAACAAATTAATGGGCAATCAATTATTGTGCTATTTCTATATGTTGGCTATAAAAAAAAATCATAAAAAGAAGTGAAACCCAACAAGTGGGTTAACGACTGTACTGTAATAAGACAACAGTGACGTAAATAATGTTTCTAATGAATTATTTTTGCCATGGCGAGTGGGTGTACAGAGCAAAGTCGTAGCCCATTAAATAAGTGAATAATGTCAGATAATAGGTGAACATATATTTAGATTATTAATTGTATGTTGCAGATAAAGATATACCTAATTAATTAATACACATATACATTAAGTAAACACATATTTATGCTGTTTTTTTTTTTTAAGCTATGATAATAAGAATCCTATAATTGATTAGTCGTTAAAATTATTTTAAACTTAAGTATGAGTTTGACAAAAAATGCATTGAAAAATCATTCTTCAAAACAAATTGGTTTTGTATGGGATTCCGACAGGTGGATTTACTTTTAAAAGGCTGCAAGTGAAAATCAATATGTAGTCTTTTAGTACAAAAAGTGAACCAGTATCAAAGCAAAAATCAATTCCTTACTCATCAAATGCAATAGCACTATCATTAAATTATTAATAATTCAATACTTTATATGTCCCTTGTATTGATTTTGATATGCAAAAGTTAATTAATGTAAAGTTTTAAATTTCAAAAAAAACTGTCCACCTGGGGACGAAAGAAAGCATGTAATTTTTCATTTGGCGTGATTCCTGAGTCGCGTGCTTGGCATCTATTTTTAACACACACGCCAGATGCTTGGCGAAAGCATTAAAAAGTTTCAATTTCGCTTTGACGATAAAGAAAATTTAAGACTGACATTAAATTGAATGTAAAACCAGCAATAATTCTAAATTTTTTCCAATTGTAATGCAGAAAACTTCAATTCTAACTTAGATTTTTCAAATGTTATTCAGCAAACCTCACTTGTAATTCAGATTTGTTAAAAATTTCATTTGTAATTCACAAAAATCTCGATTGTAACTCAGATGTGATTCAGACAACAGTTATAATTCTGAATAAGCAGATTTTTTGAGGATAGATTCAGAAAATTCATGCAGGTATGTATCCACATACATAGATACTTGTTGAGATTTTCTGAATTACATTTGAAAAATCTGAATTACAACTGACACTTTCAGAATTACAATTATTGAAAAAGGTGGTTTCAGATATCTATATTCATGCAAAGAGAATGGATTCTGAGTTATCTCTTAAATTCAGCAAATTATTGAATTATTATTATTTGTTTTTTTTTCTAGAATTATCCACGAAAGTGGATTTACACCAGAAGATTTCAAACAGTACAGGCCGGTAGTATACAGCAACACCATCCAATCACTTGTGGCGATTTTGCGGGCGATGCCGAACCTCGGAATACAATACGGCAACAATGAACGAGAGGCCAGCGTAAGTTCAAAAAAAAAAAAAAATGAAGTCTTTATTTCGATTTGTTTGAAATGAAACGACCAATAAAAAAGAAAGAAAAATACTGCTGAACCAATTTACTTGGGGAATTTTAAATCAAAAGGGCTCTTTTGTTAGTTTGTATATACATACTTCCAGCGATATTGATTGGATTTTTTATTATTTCAATTTTCAAATGAAATTGGAATTTACTATTTTTTGTTTGTAGTTGGATGGTAAAATGGTATTTGACGTAATCCAAAGAATGGAGGATACGGAACCTTTTTCGGAAGAACTACTAGCTGCAATGAAAAGACTATGGGCCGATTCTGGGGTACAAGAATGTTTCGGTCGTTCCAATGAGTACCAACTTAACGACTCTGCCAAATAGTAAGTATTAAAGTTTGACATAAATTCAAGTTTCCAGTTATTTGAAAGTTTTCCCTTTTTCTTTTATATAAGGCTCTAAGTATTTCCCCAATGGCAAGTTACTTTATTTTCTCTTTTCATGATGATGTTTTTGAGGCGGTGTAACAAAGAAAAAGTAATCATCTCGGTAATCATTGAGTTGTAATTAATGTTCCAATACTAAGATTATAGTTTTCAATACCTACAACTTGATGCCATTGAGGTAATACTAATATTGTCATAATTTGATCCAAATTATTAGAAAAGGAGGATGAATGGCAATGAAATTAAATGAAATCTTTCCAAATCTCTGGAATTTAAGAGATTGACAGTTTTCTTGATTGTTGTAAGATCTTATTATAGCAAGACCCCAAAAGCAAATTCTTGTACAAAAATCTTCTTGTTAACAATACTTTCAGCATTTTAGTACAAGCTGTTTTATATTTTGTATATTTTTTTTTCAGCTTTTTGGACGATTTAGATCGATTAGGAGCAAAAGACTACCAGCCGACAGAACAAGATATTTTAAGAACGCGAGTCAAAACCACCGGAATCGTCGAAGTACATTTTTCATTTAAGAATCTCAATTTCAAGTAAGTAATTTTATAAATAACCTGCTTGGAAAATGCAACAAGTGAATTAAGAGTCAAGATCACTATCGGTTTCTTGGCCGCTCTGCCAAAATATTATTTTATTTTTAACAATTTAGATTGTTCGATGTGGGAGGTCAAAGATCGGAACGAAAGAAGTGGATTCATTGTTTCGAAGACGTCACCGCGATCATATTTTGCGTGGCGATGAGCGAATATGATCAAGTTTTACATGAAGATGAAACGACGAACCGTATGCAAGAGAGTTTGAAGCTGTTTGACTCTATTTGCAACAACAAATGGTTCACCGACACTTCGATTATCCTTTTCCTCAACAAGAAAGATTTGTTTGAGGAGAAAATTCGGAAATCGCCGCTCACGATATGTTTTCCAGAATATACAGGTGAGAATTTGATCAAATAGGAAACTGCCAATTTTGTTTCAGAAACTTTTGAGTGAAAATTGTGCCCAGTAAACACATCTGTGGAATTTACATAAAGTTTCAAATTTAAGGCTCAATATCTTGAAAACTATTTGAGATAAATGTCTCAATTTTGTTTTATCTGAAAGAGCATTTAATTTTGATTAAAAATATGTAAATATGCATTGAAGTTTGTAAAATATTAGTTGAGATTTTGTGAGGCAATGTCGGATGATCAAAATTTTCCAAGGCAAAAATCATTTTTAATTTTTTACAGGTCCTAAAACCTCGAAATTAAAAATCACGAAAATGCTTTTCCACTAAATTTGACCTCCTCTTTCGATTGGTGAAGTCAAAAATTGAAATATCTCGAAAAATCAAAATTGAAATTTTTCTAAGAGGTATGCAAGGAAATTTCACTTTTATTTATTTATTGACGAGCAAAGCCCATTTTTTTACAATAGATAACTGATAAACGAATGCATATAATATTATAATAGGTACTAATTTTTAAAAAAAAAACATATAAAATATCCTCGCCTTCCTTACACAGGGGCTTATCTCAAAAAATCGCTAAATTGAGTTAGGCCCTTGCGAGGCATCAAAACAGTTACCTGCAGCTACCTTCTAAAAGACGTATCTCAAATATAGGTACATTACCTCGTCTTTTTCAGTATTAGGCCTATCTCAAATCTGGCACGAAAATAATCTCACAAAATATTTGTAAAAACTTTTCTCTCCTGAAAAATCACAAAAAATGAGATAGCAAGGAAGGCGACGATATATCACATGTACAATACAATAAAAATTCAACAATACTATTACAATATACAACAAACAATAGATGATAAAATACAATCTACAAGCTACAATTATAGCCGGAGAGCCAGCGCCGAAAAAAATCTCTGAATTTACTAAAGCCAGTTTTTGGTCAGTTGATTACAGTATTTACGTACATAAACATACCTCGGTCAGTCAAGTGAAACTTGGGACAAGGACCTAGGGTATCTGGTTAAAGTTGTCGAGATAGCTTGGTAATGCAACGAATTTACTAAGGCTGAAAATCGCTATACATATTCAGGCCTATGATGTATCCTCTCCTGTTATTTTAACAGCTGTGTTATAGCTCAACAGCATACCTGTCTCTATTTTGATGTATAGAATAAACAGTGACAGATAACTTAACGTTGCTGTTAAAATAACAGAAAATGATACATCATAGACCTGATTATATATAACACATAAATAACAGTGATGTTTGTCAGCTATGTTTGTCAGTCAGTTGAATAGCGGAACTGGGCCGGTCATTCAGCCCCATTGAGGTAGCTCAGCCCCAATAGGCTCGTTCAGCATATTTTTTTTATTACATATTCTAAAAGAGCATGTTGAGTTTAGCAATTATGCAAAATTTCATCATTCTGAGCCCTTGTTCATATTTAAATAAATTATCAAAATACTCCAAAGGACCCCGCAATATTTAAATGGAAATTGGTTACCTGTGATATTTGGATGAAATTTAAATATGTTATTGGGGATGCCGAAAGCAACATTTTTTACCATGGGCGTAACCTTGTATATATGACAGGTGAGGCATGGTTAGCTGTCAAATATTGGAATCTTATATCCAAAAGCAGAGTAACTATGGCAGATTTTGATGAACAAAGTATCGATGTCTACTAAGTCGACCAAGTTAAGTCGAAAAATGTCAACCATTTTGACACCTGTCAGAACTCTGCCAAACGGCAGCACTCATCTTTTCTCGTTTTCAATATTTAATGATGTCATTTGACATTTTAAACTTGTATGTAAATTCTGAATTCAAAAATTGAAAAAAAAAAATGACAGAACTCTCAAAACCTGTCATTTGTTTTAGTAGAAAAAAATACTCTAATCTGGTTCTTTTTTTGTTTCAAGGTCATTTATTGGTGATAAAACATTAAACAAAATTCATGCATGTCACAGTTTGGCAACTGTCAGAATCTGTTAATAGCTTTTTGGTTCATGAGTTTGTTTGCTTAGTGAAGTTCTTCTCAACGAGCATAAAATTGGTTAAGTTCTATCGTATTATTGTATTATTGTATCGGGTCTTCAAAAAAAAAACCAATCAAAGATTGCTTTGGTTACGAAAACGTACGTCGCATTATTGTTTGTTTATTGGTCAGGATTTTTGACATGACATTTTGACATTAAATTTCATTGACTGACATTGTCAAAACTAAAGAAAAATATTGCTAAGACCTACGTTCAAAAAACCATAGCAATCTTTGATTGGTTTTTTTTTTTGAAGACCCGATATTATTCTATCATTCTAGTTGTAGAACTTCACTAAGCAAACAAACTGATTATGAACCAAAAAGCTATTAACAGATTCTGACAGTTGTCAAACTGTGCCATGCTCAAACTTTGTTTAATGTTTTATCACCAATAAACTATCTTGGAACAAAAAAGAACCAAATTAGAGTATTTTTTTCTACTAAAACAAAGGACAGGTTTTGACAGTTCTGTCATTTTTTTTCTTCAATTTTTGAATTCAGAATTTACATACAAGTTAAAAATGTCAAATGACATCATGAAATATTGAAAACTGGAAAAGATGAGTGCTGCCATTTGGTAGGATTTTGACAGGTGTCAAAATGGTTGACATTTTTCGACTTAACTTTTTCGACTATGTAGAAATAGATTTTTTGTTCATCAAAATCTGCTATAGTTACTCTCGAGGTTACTCTGCTTTTGAATATAAGATTCCAATATTTGACAGCTAACCACGCCTCACCTGTCATATATACAGGGTTGTGCCCATGGTAAAAAATGTTGCTTTCGGCATCCCCAATAACATATTTATATTTCATCCATATATCACGGGTAACCAATTCCATTTAAATATTGCGGGGTCCTTTGAAACACGCGGTGACGTCACTGCATCTCTCACGGTGGTCCTTACGGTGCTGGTACGCCAGTCATGCGCCAGTCACTTCGACAATATGGACATTGTTTTAACAAGTTTTGGTTTGGCATCGTTTAGACAAGTTTCAGTTTGGCATTTCATGTATCTGGTAGAACTGGATTTTCTTCTTTCGAATCACATTTCGTATATTTGAATAATTCCCTGAGTTTCAATATTTTATGAGCAGAATTATGGAAGTAGCATGCGAAACGAAAAACTATAAATATTGCATAGTTCCGCAAACAGTGCGCCAAACTGTCAGTAGAAAATCAGTTAACATTCCGTTATGCAAAACCGTGTGTGACGGCCTCTAGCCTGTCTCGACGTGAGAGATGCTATGACGTCACAGCAATGAATTTCCGAGGCATAACTGTTTTAATATTAAAAAATGCGTAACTTTTTTAATATTTATCCAATTGAGCTGAAATTTTTTCTACGTGCTAAATGTGAGTAATACTAATACTCCATAAAAATGTGAAAGACCTAATGAAATTTCCTTGAACGAGCCTTAGCGTGACAGTGACAATTCAAAATTGTAGGTTGAAGTTTAAATTAATAGGGTTGTTCAGTAATATTAATATTTTTTGCAGATTTTTACATTTATTGGGGCTGACTGACCAGCACGGTCTCGCTATTCAACTGACTGACTAACACTACTGTTATTTATGTTATACAGGGTGACATTTTTAAAACTTACAATGGCTATATCTCAGGAACCAAAAAAAATATAAAAAATCGCTGAAAACAATTTCTATAGTAGGGAGGGGGAAACAAAATTATGTAATAACTAACTTGTTTTCACTCACCCCCTCACCTGCAGCTACCCCAACTTAGTAATCTTAAATGACACCCCCCTACTTGTGATACCTTATCTGAAAGCTCTTAAAAATTGCTTTTCAATGATACCCTACAAGCTAGGATTCGATGTGATTGTTTTTGGTGTATTGGGTAAATAAAACTTCATTCATTTGAATTGAAATTGTATTTTTTTAGACTTGTCAATTTTTCAGGTTCCCAAAACAACGAATAAACAAAAAATAATACAAGCCTAAAATTTGCTATGATAGTAATAGTATTTTACATTATTAGCCAGGTAAAACAGTTTTTACTGGCGATTGAAGGAAATGACTAGCGAGCCGCCAGGCGAGCTTGTCACCTTCAAGAGCCAGTAAAAACTGCTACCTGGCGTATAATGTACAATAATTTATTTGTTACTCATTTGTAAAAGATATAGGGACAAATAAAAAATCAATACATAACAAAAATTTATTTATGTTTTTCCTTGATTTTTTCTCACAGAAGTTTTGGTAGTTGGTATAACTATGAGAATGATACGTTGTTAAGACGTTGTTTCTAGTTATAAATAGGTTTTTTGACAGATTTCCATTTTGCAATTTTTTTCCAGAAATGAATTTATTACAAGATATTATTAATGAAGCCTCAGTCGTAGCCAACAGTTTATCACCAGAAAAGTCTCCCAGAAGGTACCTACAAGCAATTATTCTTGTGATAAAACCGATTTTTCAAAAATAAATAATTCTACTGACTTGTAAAAAGTTTTTACAGTTTAGCTGTCAATTTTACAAGTCAGTAGAGCCAGTAGCTTGTAAAAATCAATTTTCGCTGGTTATGTTTTGACTTGATAAGTGACGTTTTACAAATGAGTGACAAATAAAATAGTTATTTATGCAATAAGTGTGTAAAGTGAACCTTTTTTCACGAATGTGAATTTTGACAATCACATGAGTGAAAAAAGGTGCTTTACGCACGTATTGCATACAACATTTTTTTTACTACCAATCAAATATGTGTGAAAAAATAGATTTAGACAAATACTTTACGAACTAGTGCGTGAAGTAATTTACCAGAAAAATACTAGTGACAGTGTCAACATCTGTCATTGACTTTACTTTACGCACCAGTGTGTGAAGTGAATTACTTTACGCACTAGTGCGTGAAGTGGAATTTTACGTCTTCTGAATAGTGCGTAAAGTGAGTACTTTACGCACGGTAGTAGAAAAAAATATGTTTAAATTTT